AATAGGCAAACATATTTGAACCCCCCCCCCCCCCCTCCACACACACACACACACACACACACACACACAGAATGTACTGGATTGAAACAGAATGATGCTTTTTTTTATCCCTGGGCCTTGCACATTGTAGTAAAATTATCTTTTTATGCTTCTCTCAACTCCAACTTTTTTACTTAGTATGTTTATATAACTTGCACTTACATGCAGAATTGTTCATGCTGAAAAAAAATTAGCAAAAATGGTCAAACTGATACTTGAACTTTTCTTGTATTTGCCTGTATTCTTGCTACAAATCACTCCAGTTAGTTTGAAGAAAATAATTCTGTTATTGTGGTTACTTAACAGTGAAAAGTCCACAGTGACAGCAGATGCATGTGATGACTATATTTAGATACACTGTGTCTGCCTGCTGTACAGCTATTCATCAAATATTCTTCCTAAAGAGCCAAACATGCACACATTTCTCACTACTTTCCCATCAAATGCAGAATTATTATTATTAGGGGATGTTGCATTTCTTCTTGATCTGGGTCTGTTCAAGAGTGTGCTTTTACTCCTGTTAGACTGATTAGGTAAGGTACATGTACCTGTGTGAAGGCTTGATATCTGATTATCATCAGAGGATAAGTCAGTGCAAGAGATTTTGGCCTCCTTAACACATTCCCATTGCCCTGAATTCTGAGGGTACCCAAATCTCTTGTTATTATCACAGCTGGCACTGCAGCATGATGGCACTGTGGCATCTACCTCTATGTTGCTGCTGAGATCAGACGTTTTTGGACAGTCAATAACAGGGAACCTTGATTTCGATGACATAGAACTTGTGGACTGTTTTGATTGCCTAGAGTGTCGCCCTTTCTCCATAGATGAATGTGAACGCTCAGGTGATTTGTTTGAAGAGTGAGTTGGTGGACGGGGGATCCATTGAGCATCTATCTCATTTATTTTTGCCATATGCTTCAAGATCTTCTTGTACTTGACAACATCCTGTAGAAACTTAGGTATTTTCATGCAGTTCATTCGAGCAAGTCTTTTTACCCTGGGTAGCTCATCTAGGCATATTTTGCCACAGTACAGAAGATGGAAGTCGATGTTTTCTATATTTCTTAAGATTTCAACTGCACCTGAAAAGAAAAATAATACAGAGTTTGTAAGATACTCACAGTGATAAGAAATAAACTTGTATATATGCCATTCTCCATTCAAACAGACACTGGTATTTTAAGTTCAGTAGTGTGCACATACACACTCAAAAGGGTGGCTTCTAACCTTTATAAATGTACATGTATATTTGTTGTACATTGTAAGTTGCATGTATCATATGTAATTTCTGTACCTTCAAAATAGCACTGATCCTTGCCATAGCCACCTAGAGCATTTGGATTTTCTAACCCACGCTTTACTCGCATTACATGTTTCCATCGCATCTCAGGATTAATAATGTATCCCTCCAGGTGTTCAAAGAGCTCACAGAAGGTCATCTCAACAGACATACAAGCAGTGTCTAGAAAATGGAAGTCATCATATTAGTTTCTATAAAAGAATCTTGGGTCTATCTTGGTAATAAACTATTTAATCATCTTATGGAAGATCTATATGATCGCATTCACAACAGATGATCTACTCGGATCAAATATGGTAGACCCTACATGAAAGTAAGACCGCTTAATCCCTTAATGGTCTCCCTTCCTCCACACAGGTCTTCCTGCAGGGACCTTGCAATTAAAACTGAAAGCCGAAACTTAATCCGTAAGGAGGTGGGTATAGACCATTAAAAAGTTGTGTAATTTACTATATTTTGATTTCAAGAATATGATGATAATATGTTTAATTTAAAAGAAATTTGTGCAATTATCTGTCGGTGTCTCTGTGTCAAAAAAATGATGAACAGTTTTAACTAGATAAATCAGATATCAAGGTCAATTCTCTTTTAGAATTGAAAGCATGCAGTGTCGTTTACAGCACTTTCCCCCAGCACCACATTTAATAATAATGTTAATAATAATAATTGAGTAATAATAATAATAGTATAACAATTTTATTCAAAACACACACACACACACACACACACACACACACACACACACACGTAGAAATATATATTAAAAATTTGAATTCAGATAGAGCCCTTAAAGGAGAAAAAAATAGTAATGATATAATAAAATCATGTAGTTGAAGTTGTTAAATTAAAGTGGTTAATAACATAGTGTATTAAATGATTAAAATTAAAATTTAGAATTACAACTGTAAACTGAAAGAGGGTAAAAACTTTTCTTTAAATATCTTACTTCCTTTGAAAGTAGGAAATGCTTATAGATATATGTAACAAATTCATGAATGCTTGACTAAAGTTACTCTTTAAGCTTTCTGCTTTGTCACACCCATATAATTATACTTACAATAGGAGAAAGCTGAAACCCACAGGTATTTGATTTTGGCATTGAAAACAGTGTTGATATTGGCAAGGCCTTCTTCTGTCTTCAACAATTCCACAGATTTGTGACTTCTTATTCCAAAGTGCTTACGGTCAGCAAACCAGGGCTGCAGGCATTCATTTACCATGCGGAGCTTTAATGCAATTAAGGAAATGGACACAATATCACTAGCACCACATACCCCATATTCTTTGTTTCAACTACATATACTGCACTGATAACCTACAAAAAAACTGCCTTTTACTAAATATTGAAACTAAAGTGTGCTCTGTCAGATGCAGGATCTATTTTGGGCAAAACAGCCAGTTTGCCACCTAACATTTATGAAGAGATTTATTAAAATATACCTGTAGAAATTTTATACTAACAGAAATTAGACTAAATCAAATATAGTGAACAGATCATCTCTGAGACTAAGTCAAATATAACAAAAAAATCTTTTCACCATAAATGTTGGACTGGAAAGAGAGGCAATGGTAAGGCTATCACGCAGTTATCGTGCAGGTGCCAGAGAACAGCAGCACAGCTCTGAGTAATCTCAACTAGTGACACAAAGCCACCAGTGTCACTCTCAAGGGCGTCAATGGCAAGTTCCTTTTTTTCCCAATTTTTTTCTGGTTATTTCTTATATCTAAAAGATCTTTTTTTCACCCCTATTTTTTGGGGGTCTAGCAATAATTTTGTGTCAATTCATGCTGGTTATAGTAAAATAAAATGTGGCTACTCAGCATCTCAGTCAGTATTGAACTGTCTATAAAAGTTTGGAGAAATTTCAGTTGGTAAAACATAACGTCAATATCAATAGATTAATTATTGTCAATACCTGATTGTGCTTGGACCTACAGGTACATGCCTTGTTAAAGTACACTAAAGGAAGGGGAGAATCTTACACAAAACTTCACTTAAATTTAGATGTTAAAATGTCAACATGCATGGAATGTGAAACATGGACACTATACTTTCACATACATGTATTTACTGTTAGAAAAGCTACCTTAGTTTATATTCTGTAAGCACATTTTGAAGTTAAGACCATCTATACACAGTGGGCTATACCATCCTGCTTGGCACCAGATGAGGCTCTTGCACAATCAGTTCCAAAGCTGCCTTTTTGTAAACTAACATGTTTGAGACAAATAGTAATTTTCATCACAAAATGCCTCGGTATTGGTGCATACCTGCTCTTTGTAAGGCCTTAAGTATCTTTTCTTGACAATTTCTGTCTTGGTTACCATATTGTATAAAAGGTGACTGTCGGTAATTTCGACCCAAGGGATACATGTACTTCCAACTGATCACTATGTGTACAGCCCAAGGTGCTAGACAATGATCAGTACTGTTGGCTAGTGACTCAATACAGCAACATAATATCACTAGTGTTGTTTTTTATAGTGATTCTGGCAGCCAGAAACTTTCATTTTATTATTATAATTGTCATTATTATTACGAATAACTGTTCAAGGATACAAAGTGTGTTCCGATTTCATGATCTGCTAGGCAATTGATGCCCTGTTTTCTGAGAAGTGTGTTTTCAGTAGAATCCTTCACCCACATGGTGTACTTGATGCATTCTGGCTTGTTGAGCTTGAGGTTTGGACCTTGCCAAGAAAGTCTTGCACTGTGTTAAAAGAAAGTTAAATTCATGAAAAAAGTGAAATCATCTTTAACTTGTATGGTATGAAAAAAAAAAAGAAAAGAAAAAAAAGGAAGCCACCTCCAGTGTTGTGCTTGACAAGGTTGACAAAATGCAACAACCAAAATTTCAAATTTCTGTATAAAATAACAGTTTATAACAAATTTGTGGAGATAAGTAAAATGATTAATCCAAGGTTACATAAGATTGTGTGGTCAAATTCAAGGTCACAGTAAGATTAGCAATATATGACTTCCTATTCAAGTTCAGTAGTAACTATGCGCGTATCTCTAAATTTTCATAGTACAGTCCATGGTGAAAAGTAGTTTGAAGGTCAAATTCTAGGTTACAGTAACATTGCAATTTCAAGTTATATAGTAAATATAGACCTATCTCTGTCAATTTTTTTACTCTATGAAGTTTTTTTTTTCAGTGACAATTTTGCCTGAACTAACCAAGTACAACAGCTAGCATGTAATTGTCTTTCCATTAATACTAACCTGCATGGTAATGTTTTGGACCACAAAATTCTCAAAGATCCATCCACATTGTTTTCTTGTATGTATTCTTTTAACATGACTGTTGCCTCTTCTGCATCAATCAGTGGTCCAAAACTTTCCTCTAAAAATGCACCACCATCCCCATACTTCATCCGCACAATCTCGAGTATCTTTTTTGCTTCTGGTAACAGATCAAAGTGTATTTCGCCCTTTTTCTTTGCTGTGAATTTCTCCAGCTCAGTAACTGAAGCTCGAAAGTCAAATTGTGGTGTAATGCCATATTTCAAGAACCGTTCTTTTTGCTCTGCTAGGTTCAAAGGAGTGAGAACTGTTTTTTTTAGATGATCATTTTTAGCAAAGCATATCCGATCTTTGCTGATCTTCCTTCTTGTAGCATTTACTTGAACCATGCTGCATGTAAGTCAGCCAGCTAAAATTCTCTTTGGAGGTTGCATAGGCATGTACACGTTCTCAATAACTAAAAAAGAAACAGAAATGTTGAAACATAAACCAGAGCTTAGAATCTGTTAACAGACAATTGTAACTTATGCTACATTTATCATATTATGTGAATTTGAGCCTCTGTTAGCTGAGACTTCTTAAAGACAAAAATTGTCTCGCAAGACACAAAAACATTTTTTCAAACTTTTGCCCATTTTCTTCCTTATATGTTTGTCACAAATTAATGGAGAGATTCAGAATCTGTTTTTTCATCTCTCTCAAATTTTAACTCTCCTGCATGGCATTTTATTACTGCAAAAATAATATCACTTATAATTAAGAAATGATAATAAAGCTGTAAATAAATGCTAAAAATGTAAAAAGTGTGAGCTGCAACAGAAGTCAACCTTTTATTTTTGTCACATTATGAAAATACTGTCCATATGATATCTGTTCAATGTTTTGCTTGATATCTGGCAAAATATGGTTTTCATTCTGGTTTCTCGTTCTGTTTATGCATTGGGCAGAGTAACCATGCACATTAAAGTGTAAAATGGTATTCATCTTCCATTGTCCCTTGGGTGCACATTCAAGTAATTTTGTCACATCCCGATCAATTTCCGTATATAAGTACTGTAAACATTGTTTTTTATCTTTAATTGAAATCATATGACTTGTAATTATTTGTCATAAGAAAAGTTTACATAGATACAAAATCTTAGGTGGGAAAAGGAGGAATCATTGTAAGGGACATCAGTATTGGGAAATAATTTGTTTGTAATAATATTAAATCTTCATATTATATATTCATTCAGTGGATCTTATGGCGTTTCTCTTGAAGCATAAATGGTAAAAATTCACACATTAGAATTTAGAATATGTCAGTAACTTAAGATAATATTTCACACCTTAGAAGTTCGAATTTTACTGTTCTTGAAACAATGTTTCAAGCCTGGTAATCTTTTTGAGGTACATTGTAGATCATTGTAAGGAGTCCTTGTGTGGCGGGGAAAAGGCATGAAGCATTTTATGGTAAAAGGTTCTCTTTTTTTAACAGTCCTTTAAAAGGTAGAATAAAGAGACATGAGTAAAAATGAATAAAATTTTTCTGGTGATACACCCTAAGAGGTACATGTAGTAACCAGGTCAAGTTCGCGATTTCCAGGTGGATTCCACAACAAGGCTATGGTTTGGGGAAACTACCACAGTGACAGAAATAAAACAGTGAAGACTCCGCTGTCTGCTGTGCCCCCCCCCCCCCAAAAAAAAAAAAATTTCTTTTTTAAACAGGTCCCCAATTTTTAGAACCGAAATACAACCGATATGTAACAGGTGTTTGTTCCACCAGGGATCCAGGTATTGCTGTTTTATGGTGATCACTTCCATTGCATTTAAAACCGAGAACATGTACATTTTTACAGGTGTATTAGGGGAGGTTGTAAGGCCGAGTCAAGTACATGTACCGATCGTATGCAATTCAAATCCATGTATTGAATTGTATAAAAGAAAAGATAAAAAGTTCAAGTAAACCAGTGCTTCATACCTGCTGAGATTTGTGTTACACGTTCGTCAGGCGTGAAAACCAGCAGTGCCTTTTGTTGTTTTTCGTGCTTTCGTTGCTACACAGAGAGATCTCGCGGGAGATTGTGTGAGTTTGGTGTGAACTGCTCTTCACTTATTGGAGGGGTGAATGCTACACGCCGGAGACAGTGTCAATTTCCGGTGCCTGTTGTCATCCTTGCAAAGAGGTAAACTTTACTTTATACACAGAGATTAATACATTTATTCTGACCAGCGCGACTGTGCATCGTCGCCATTGACATCCAACACATCTGCTTAATAATAATAATAATAATAAAATAATAATACATTTCTTAAAACCGCGCTACACGTGTCTCAGCGCTCTTTAAAACTTTACATATGATTAAAACTACATGTAAAAGTAAAACTACTAACTTAAAGATAAATTAAAAACTAACATTAAAGTATTTAAAACTTAAAGGTAAAAGCTAACCAAAATATTCTTTAAATAAAAGGTTTTTAAATACTTTTTAAAACGGTGATGAGTCATTCAAAGACACATTTGATATGTTAATAAAATTGGACCATAAAAATTGGTGCAGTAATCTCAATTAAAACTCCTGTGAGCATATGTTTTGAGAGTCTTTTCGGTATTGTTTCTTTCGAGTTGCAATTGACCATTGAAAGGAGTTAAAAGTTCCATTAAATTGCTCATGTAAAATGGATAGTCGCCCTATAAAATATTAAAAGTCAATGACATTGACTATTCTTTGAGTTTAGAAGTCACTAATGCATGGATGAGTAGCTCTGTTTGCTTGCTGTCAATAAGTTGAAGAATTTTAGATATTAGCTGGAGACTAGAAAATGCTGATTTACTCACTTTGTTGATGTTTGATCATGATGTCATATTACTTTTATTGTTGAAAATTAACTTCTTTGTTTGTTGTGATAACAGAATCTCCTACATGCACTCTGATACCGTCTATCTGTAGTATGGTGCTGTCTCTGGAAAACTTAGAGTTGAAGTGGACCAATTAAGTTTTATCATCATTGAAGACTATAAGTAGTTGGACTTGAGCCAAGATCGGAGTTCATACACACATGCCTCAATAGTTGCTTTTTCATCATAGGATTTTCACATATATATAGATCTACAGTGTATCTGGGAATCAATTCATCTGCATACAACATCAAATTGAAACCAAACCGAGGGAGTACAGGTATATTCTGGTGAAGTGTAAAGAGAATAGGGCAAGCATGGAGCCTTGTGGCTCGCCATAAAGTAGTTTGCCTGATTTGGAAACAGAAACCCCTATGTTCACTTGTTGCTGGCTTCCAGTTAGGTAAAAATGAAACCAGGAGAGAACTGTACCCGTTATCCCAAAATAATGAGCAAGTCAATGGAGCAGTATGTCATGATCAAGAGTATCAAAAGCTGCTGATAAATCAAGGAGTATTAATACACCTTACGTGGAGCTGTCTCTGTGCTGTGGTTTGGTCTATAGGCAGATTGACATTTTGCATTTAAGGAATATCTACTAAGATTTTCTGCAAAAAAATATTTATTTGTGCCAATTTTCGGAAACTACACAGACCTAAGCTCTCATATTATGGTGAGGGGTTACAATTAGGATCTCCTTTCATCTTTGGGAGTTTGGGGTCAATCCGTGCATTTTCACGTTGTTTGGTATTTTTAAAGTTCTCCTTTGTGTTTGACTGAATGACTAGTGATGACTCTTCTGTGGTTCACTCCACCTCATGCTCCCCAGAGTTTCTTAGTGATGTTAAGATCTTTGATTGTCATCCATATGTCGTTTGATAATTTTTTTTCCATTGATGTCAGTAAGTAGGCCCCTTGAGTAAGTCCACTTGTTGATAGAACAAAGGTTCATTTAGTCTATTAGGTGTCCCTCGATATAGTTTCAAACCGTTTCCATTTTTGTAAGTGTTCTTTCTGTTTATAGATTTTTCTGAAATCCGTGAGTATAAATTAATTGATATTGAAGATCGGTAAAAGAGTCAGATTTTCACTTGTCAATAAAAAGCATGACTCTTTGTCTTTTCAGAACAATTTTTACCTTGTAACCAATAGGAAGGCCCATATTGCTGGTAATAGAGCTAATTCGATATTGATGTTTTTGTAGGGATCGTCTTTGTTCTTTAGCAGTACTCGGGCTCTTTTATTTTTCCTATGGGGCCATTCAGAAAAGAAGATCCAAGTATTAACTGATCCAAGCATCAAATATGGCAGACCCTACATGAAAGGAAGACTGCTTAATCCTGTAATGGTCTCTCCACTTCTCATACGCCTCCCCACGCATCGTCCCTGCAGGGGCACAGTAATTAAATCTTGGCTCCATTTGATTGGATGCATGGGGAAGTGTGTGACAGGTGGAGAGAATGGTTCACTGCCACTCGCAGAACTATCTCCCATTCTCCAATCGGTCTACTGGGGTTTTTTTTAATCAATGTAGAAAAATTCAATTTGTTAAGAAGCGAGTATGATGTTTAGGGTCTCAGAAAATGTCTAGAATGTTTATTTTAAATAACGCAATAAATAGCTTGCAGCTACTTTTGCAGTGTCATTTGGCATAAAAAATCTTCACCTTTTTTCACAGGTCAATATCTTTAGTTGTTAATGTTTGATGTTTTTGTAATAATTTAGCCATTTAAAATATCTTTCAGATACATCCATGATTAGCAGATAATATGGTGACAAATGTTTTACATGAAACGCGGAAACACTGCATTCTCTTAGAAAGTAATTTGCAAAATCTTGGTCACCAGGCATTGTGAAAATATACTTGAAGTTAGGGACAAATTCATCAGTAAATTAAACGTGCATCTTGTAATACCTCCTATGTGCATGTAGTCTAATTTTTTAACATTAGAAACGTGTAAATAATGTATAATAGCTATGTTATTCTTTAAAAACTTTCATTACTCAAACTATATTTTTCCTTGCTCTAACCTTTGTTACTGAATATGAAAACTGCACATACTACCAAGGCATGTACAGAAAGATGTTTGCATGATTACACACACACACACACACACACACACATACACAAATAAAGGTTTATCAGTTTCATTCAGATGAAGTAAAATTGGCGAATATATTTTTCACTTAATTTTTCATTTTTCTGTTTACTTCAAATGGACGTATTTATTGATAATATCTGTTTATACTAGCAGGTAGTAGATAAACCTGTTGTAATTACTAGTCATAATTTAGCAGCCTTTTTCTGTACAACTAAGAAGGGTAAATCCATAGCTACCATTTAATTTAAAATGAGCTTAATCTTGCTGGTGGTGCAATTCCTGGTAGCAGTATGGCTGCTCTGTTCTGCAGTTAGTATTGTCATTTAAATGGAACTGTATATCGAATAATTTGCATTAGTCATTTTGTAACAAACAGGCACTCTAGGTGAAATACTGACAATGGCAGATAATCTTGATGAAGATGATGATATTCCCCAACTGTCAGCTGATACTTTGAAAATACTTCAACAGTTTTATGATGAACAGTCAGCTCTTCATGATCAGCAGATGGGAAACCCAGATATCATGCCTCAGGAGGACTGGGTATGAAGCATACTTAATATCCTTGATATACATGCGCTACATTCTTAATTAATTAATACTACCACATTATTGCCTTTCCTTGTTAGTAAGGTAACAGCCTAACCTAAAACAGTTTGAGTGGATTATGATAAAATTATCAAGATACAGGTCAGAGTAACTTAAACTTGATTAGATTTTCATGGGGATCCATTCACGGTTTCATTGATAATATTGAGAATTAAAATGCTTCAGAAGAGGTCTGTGCTCTTTGAAGGCTTTTCTAGTGAGATAACATTGTACAAAAGTTGATGTTCATTCATGAAAAATTGAATTAAAAGAAGTGTGTTGTCTTTCTCAAATGTATCTCTAATGCAATATAAAATTAAAGAGAACTTTGTTGTTTGTTGTCAGATCAAGATGTATATATAAGCATAGATTTGAATTATGGTAACGTAGACAGAAAGTAATAATAATATAATAGATAGTTTGTCTCACCTTTCACTTTGCTTTTCTTTACAGCAACTAAGTCAGTTCTGGTATAATGACAGTACAGCTTTCAAATTGGCAGAAGAGGCCAAGTATGTTGCTGGTGAGAATGGGAGGTAAGGGCTACTTGCTTTTCATAAAAGTATAACAGTGTGTCATGCTATTAAGAAAAACATCTGTTTTCTTACTTCCAATTTTCTTTTCTAGGATGGCATTCCTTAGTGCTCCAACTGCCTTTAAGAAGCTCTTAGAGATCAGTCCTTCATCAGATGCAGTACTATTAGAATATGACAAAAGATTTGCAATACATGGAGACAAGTACATCTTCTATGACTACAAAAATCCCTTGGACATTCCAAGAGATTTAGAGAAAGCATTTGACATTGTGGTAGTAGATCCACCTTTTCTCTCTGAAAGGTGTCTCAAGAATACAGCTGAAACTGTCAAATTCATTTGGAAAGGAAAAGTTATCTTATGCACAGGTTTGTAAAGTTGATAATTCATAGCAACTTGTGGTTTCCATTTCTAAATATTCGCAGGATTTATCTTCATGATAGAAGAATGTCTAACTGATTGCCCAATAACTAACTGGTTTTGCCATTTTTAATTTAATGGAAAATGGATTAAATGTACATTTTTATTTACAAAAATATTTGTACAGTCAGTCAGGGCTTGACATGAACTTTGATGACCAATTGCCCTTGGTAAACATGAATTATTGTATTAATATAGAATTATTTGCAGTCTGTCAGGAGGGTGCATCTGATCCTCTGAATATCACAGATCTTATTTTAGTTTAATACTGAGTACTAGTAATCATATAAATGCCGTGCACCCTAAACTGGTAACAAGTATGTATGTTCAACCAAAATGGCCAAAAAAGGCCCAAACAATGTTCCCTAAAGTGGATGTATTCTTATATGCAAGGTTGTAATGTACAAACACAGATGTGTCCGTACATATAGCAGTCACCAATCCTGTCATCACCTTTGCTATCACCATTGCAGTGCACTTTCAACGATAACACATTGAGTGAAAAATGATTTATTATTTGTCTTTAAATTAATGGAACTGATGAACATTCATAAAATACAGATCGTGTTTGAAAATCAACATGATCAAGCCTTTTTTTTGGAAAGTTATGCCGTTTTTGTTTTTTTTTTTTTCCACTTTTTTCAGCATATATGCAAAACTGATAACACTTTTCAAGGAAAACCAATAGGCCTATTGTCTTGAAACTCACAGGAAACAGGTGTGCCTGTACATATAGCCTCGCCTGCATCTGTCATCATCATGCACTTTCAGCTATAACACAATAAGTGCAAAACCATTTTACCTTTTGTCTTCAAACTTACGGAACTAAATAAATATTCATAGAATACAATTCCGGTTTTTGAAAAAGTTATGCTGTTTTTTTTTGCTTTTTGCAGCATATGTGCAAGTTGCAACACTGATAACACTGAAAACACATTACTAAATCTCACTAAATAATTCCTATTTTGTTCATCATTATAATTTGCTTTATCTCTTTACATTTGACAGTTTTGATGCCCTGTTTACTGCATATGTTTTACGTGTTTTTGCAGGTGAAATAATGGAAGAATATGTCAAGAAATACCTTGGTGCTGAGGTGTGCAGTTTTATGCCACAACATGAAAGGAATTTGGCAAATGAATTCCGCTGTTACACAAACTACAAAACTGTTGTTCTTGAGCAAACGTGATACGGCAACGACTCAACCTTTTGAATGGGGAAAATTCTGAATTCTAATGATTATGTATTTTTAAATCATAAATTCTTAAATTTAGATTTTTTGCAGGTAGCAACAAAACTGTAAAGACTATCATACAGTTCCATTCTATTCAGTGAAATCACCACAAATGCTACAAAAAAGTTGTATTTTTAGTGATTCTAAAGTTAAGCATCTGAAAATTGTTTTTCCCTATTGAAAAGATCACGTCATTAATTTTATCATGCTTATTCAAAATAAACAGGGAGAGTGGACCATACAAAAGAAGAACAGGTGATTAAATGGTAGATTCCACAAATTAAGTTAGCTTAGAGAGCTAATCGTTATGGTTATAGACATTAAGTTGGAAGTAGTTTGTTCAGGCCTACCCAACTTGGCACTGAATGATCCTGAATTTGCTGGTACATCCAATCACGCTACCTGTTTTCAAGGTGTGTATCAGTATGCATTTCACAGTGTCAAATTTTGTACTTGAATTAGAGTATAACTACTTTTCCTTGTTTGTAACTGATAAATTGCATATTCATTTGAATAAGAGGCTAAAAGGTCTGTAAACTATTACTAAGGGAAATTATTTTTTTTTTTTTTACAAATTATATGGCACAAATCCTCTTGACAAGCAGGATAATGCAACTGTCTTCACTAATTGCTTGAAATAACAGTGCAGCCTCTTAATTAGAATTAAGTGCATTGTAAACTCATACACTCTTTGCAAGTTACATCTTGGTCTACATCCCCACCTCCAAATTGCTAAATGGTCATAGACTCAATTAAATGACTTGGTCACAAGCAACCTGTTTATAGTAACCATTTTGTTGTTCTGATGTACAATGTATGGTATTAATTTCTGATGTAAAGAAATAAAATCCAATTTAAAATTGCATGCATTTTATGTACTTTCTATCTTGAGGTGTAAGTTAATACATGTTTTCATTCCAACTGGAAATTCCACAAATTAAATAAATTAAGGGGAAATTACAGGGAACTAGAAGCTGTTAAGTTTTACAAAGGGTTTGCTTCTTACGAAGAAATCATGAAATTTCATGACTACTTGAATCCAGGTATTTCTGATGTGTGCTATTGGGATTCAAAGACGGAGACACACCAAGAGGAAAAAACATCTATCTCAGGATTTATATTGAACATATTGAGTCACGTATTTCTGATCTGAATGGCAAGCAAATTGGACAAGTTATGGATCATAATGTATGTTGTTATTTATATAATGCACAAAAGCCTTATTATCTGATTAAGTGTTGAAATTATCATATATGCAGAAAAAGTGAAAGATGGACAATCCCCCTAGCAAAATTAAATGTAAGCAGCAATATTGCAGCACTATTATGTATTGCAAGAAAGTCTTTATATTCTAGCAAATTAGCAGCAAATCTTACGTTTGCAGTAAATTTGCCAGAAAGTATTATATTCTTACAAATTAATAGCAAATATTACTGGGTTCCCATGCCTAGATCGCTCCATCTGGATCTGGATCATACCGAATCAGCTAGGGAGTAAAGATAACTACCCCCTAGGAGCTTTACTAGATGTAATACCCCCTTTACACTGGACGGCGTCCTTTCTGCGTCCTTTCTGCGACCATGAAATTTGGCATCGCTGTGGTCTTAATAAGGAGGCACGAGCATTGATTTGGTATCAGAATGAATGCTCAATGGTCGGCCAGTTGTCGGCACGTAAAGTATTATAATTCTTTAACTCTCAAATGGGGCCGAACTGCTGGACGCAGAAGGGACGCCGTCCAGTGTAAAGGGGGCTTAACAGACATTTAAGCGGGTTAAGTTGATAGCAATTCAGTGAGACTCCCCCAGGGAGATAGGTCGATCCAAATATCTGTGGGAATGGTCCCTATGTGGCAAATTTACCAGAGAGTTTGCGTCAGGCCTGATGTTTTGAGTTTATTCTTGTGTGCATCTATCTAAGGGATTTAAGGTACATGAATGTTGATTATCGAGGCAGCCCTGATATCAAAATCCAGGTTTTGCCTAAAACCATATGTTGTGTTATGATAAGATTTGTGATATTTAAAATGTTAATTATACATAAAATATCTCAAACATGATATTTATATGGATAACATATTACAAGAAAATACAAATACTTATTTCTATTGTGGTCAGTATTTGGAAAGATCAGGTGACAAGCATCAAAAAGGATAACTTTTTTTAAAGGTTTAGAGATAGTAAATACAATAAAAGTTATTTAATGAAATATAAAGGGGTCTGACTCTTTATTTCTGAGACAGTCAAATAAAATTTTTCTTACTAGAATTTTGAACTGAGATTTGCATGGAATGAGAATAAAGTAATTTTATGTTATTGCAGAAATGCCAAAATATGGGGAAAATATTTAAGTGTGAATATCAAAACCAAAGTTCGTGGCCATGAGTTTGAAAAGTAAGTAATTGTGCCAAAAGAAGTGCCGAAACTGAGTGTGAACAAACTACCCTAAAATGCTGGAAAATATAGGAGAGGCCGGATTCTGTTTTACCATGCAATTAGAAAAAAATTGTTGGATGTCAGGGTTGCTGCGGCGGGGTGACTGACCCTGGCCTTTTCTTTTTGAGGAAGGTAGAGGGGGGTTACATTCTTTTTCAATGCCAGACCAACAAAGATGAGCATTCTTTTACGACATCCCTAATAAGATGAAAAAAAAGGCATTAAATAATTGGTCAAGATAAATTGACCTTTAATAAGAATTTGCTGGGCAGCACGTGAACGTACTATAACAATATGATCATTGATTTCTGCACTGAAGATGAAATTTGTATATTAGCAGAACCTTAACCATATGACATAATTAATGCAGTATAGAAGAGAAATAGATAATAAAATGCAAATTGTTTCAAAGTTCGACATTTTCGCTAGGCCTGCACTAGCTTGGCAGTGCAGCTGTGAGGACGTACTAAAAAGACAAATGTTCCGATTGCTGTAAAGCTGGAGCCGCCAAGTCTTGCTTGGTCAAAGACTAAACATATGTATCGTTATCGCAAGTTTCATATTGCCCAATGCAATGCTAAAAAGGCTGCTCCAATCCCGAGACGACGTCCCTTGAGTCTTTACGGCAAATTTTGTTTGTTGAATATGCCGCGCTGAATAAATTGTTAGAAGAATAAAAGTGGACCTGGACTGTCACCTGAAGTGAAAAAAATACTATAAGGTCCATGTTTGATAGCCAGAGGCGGCGCCATTAACTTCATTTAATTTTGGGATTACTTTGTGAATGTGATTGGTGTATTTAATGCATTTTGAGACGCCCCCGTCTTCCAAAATTGGTGTACATACCTTGTACCAATTCATCTTTAAGGTGGTTGGTTTACTTTATGCAGATATAACGTTTGAGTTCTGGCCGAAGGGTTTCAATGGGGTTTAAGTCAGGACTTTAGGGGAGACTTTAGAACCAGTTGATATTATGTGGTGCAATAAATTATTTTGCCAGTTTGCTTATGTGTTTTGGGTCGTTGTCTTTTTGAAACCTATGATGAAGGGGGATTATTTTCTTAAAAATGGCAGCAAATATTCTGTTTAGAGTTCCATCACGTGGGACTTTGCATCCATGATGCCTATAAATATTACTAGCGATGTTGCCCCTCTCCTGCGACATAAAAGAAAGAATACAAATGTCTCATTACTAAAAAATACTCTAGATGAAATATGGAAGGCGAAGACTGAGGGAAATTAACTACACAGCAAGAAGCAAGGGATTTAATTGCATTTTCCTTGTGATAATTTTGCTTTATTCTTCACACTGAAAAATATAAGTATATTCTACATTAATCTATTCAGTACTTTCTGTCAATTTAAACAAGAGGCCTACTGAAATAACACAGTGAGTATACATGTACAAATTCATTACCTCCCCATACATGCACTTTGTACGCATGTTTTGGCTTAGGCCTTGGTTGTCTAGGCTCGCTGACGTCTTATCTCTGCCATCTGCGTCTCGAACCACCTTTCATAATACAAATCGGCAATGCCTGTCCATTTCGATGGTGCTTTCATCTGAAATCGAAGTAAATAGAAAACCTGAAACATTGAAAATAGACATTAATGTTTGATTATCTGAAGTAAACCTTTTTTAACCCCACGTTTTGCGCAAGGTTGTTGATATCCATAAGATGTTTATTCAGCAAATAAATATATAAAAACAAATGCATCGGATATATATTTTTTCATTGAAGTGTATATAGTTATGTACTCTGCGCGGGGGCGGATCCAGAGATATTTTCTGACAGTTTATCTTTGTTGATCTATTCTCCATTTTGTCCGTCTCCCGACCCCCCCCCCCCCAAAAAAAAAAAAAAAAAAAAAAATTAAATACCCGTTAATGTAAACTTGAAAATCTGTCTTCTGAAAGACCAAGATATGAAAGACCCTTAATCTGCCCCTGCTACGTACATGAAATATATTGAACAACTTTCAATTTTAATAGTTTGAAGCTGCTGCTTTTAATAGTTTGAAGTATGCTGCAATTATTGCAGATCTGTATGTTGTGGTGCAGTGGGAAGATGGGGGTATCACTGGGTTTTAAGGCCGGTGATAGGGTTAACTACGCTTAAAATCATGTCTTTGAGTTTTTTGTGTGTTTATATTAATCAAAAAAGTATCTAACGTTGGATGTAATAATTTTTATAAATTTGCATCGCAAAATGTCTTTTGATGAGTTTTTCAACCGGCACGCGCCCCAGTCAGGCTGACAACTAAGTCACGCCTCTGTTACTAAGGGCCGTTGCCATGAGGGGGTCGGAGCACAGTTAATGAGTTATAAGCCGATTACGTGTGCGGTAATAGGTCATAAGTCTTACATCAGCTTAGCAGCGAAGAAGTCTAGCTAGTTCACTATGGGGAAGAGAAAAGTTCGTGTTAAAAGTCCATTTCCAGAGGAAAGAAAGAAAATATTGAAAGAGAGTAGGACCTATGCGTGGCGGTTGGGGAAAACCGGCCCTATTTGTTCAGTCGGATGACTGATTCCTGTATACCTAATAAATGGGTGAAAGAGTTAATCGAATCGTCTAAATTAATTGACAAATGAAAGAAAAATCGATAAATAAATAAAAAAACGCTGAAAAAGATACTTTTAGCCTAGCTCTTAATTTTTGCGATGTATATCGGCGAGCGCATCTGCGACACGTTACGAAACCGGAAATGATTGTTGGTCGCCGTTTGCAAAAGGTAAATCTAATGTTGACAAAATAAAATTTTATTCTCCAAGATATGATATCATGGAGCTTGAGAGACACGCGAAAAATTGTGATGTGAATGGCCAAACGAGAGAAATCCAAGCAAGGGTTGACAGCATGATTAAAACAATAAAAATAAAAACGCATGTTAGCGGCTTTGCATTTTTCGATGTTTGGAGAAAAACAATTTCAAAATCACTGATCAAGCGTGAAGAAAGAGTTCAAAATGTATCCAAAAATGAAAATCACAAAAAGACCCGAGAATAGTCAAGACTAGCAGGTAAAACGCAAATAGGATCTAAGTGTCATGTGTGTAAAAATAAAATATTTATGCAAAAGCCTTCTCTCAGCCACTTTTACCGCTGAATCTTGTGCAACTGAGCGTTTCCCCTTTATCTTAGCTGGCATTTTGAGAGATACCGCTCTGAAGTAATCACTCAATTTTTCCGTTGATCTGACGATTACCAAGTGCCGTGCAAAATAATCCTGCAGCGTTAACCGTCAAAAAACTCTTATTAACACAAGTGACGGCCACTTGCTCTCGACAGACAGTTTTATCTCTCAGGTAAAATTACTCGATTGCCGAGGAAAAGCCATTGAAACGTTCAAATGCAACTTCACACCTCTTAATTGCGGTTAAACGTAATCGCCTTTGTTAGCGCTTCCTTCTACATATCCTTGACACCCTACTGGGCATCACTAGGCTAGGGCCCTCTCCAGAGCTGTCAATCAAAATGGCGGCACGCTTACAGGCCTAACGAGTGGTCGGAAAATGTAACAAAAGCACGATTTTCTGCCCTTTCAAAGCACACAAACAAAATATTTTTAGATGACAATGAGCAATGGTTCCACCTAATCGTATAACCGATAACAGGTAGCTTAAATTTGCCAGCTAAGCATTTGACTAATAAGTTCTGTTAACCAACCTGTGAACGTTTTTGGCTGTTTTAACAGCTTTCTATATTGACGAGATAAGTGAATCGCTGCCAAGTATATCTCACTATCTGAGCAACCGATCGTTACAAAAGTTGCACCTATTGTTGTTGGGAATGTGGACTACAGGATGATGTCAGGGGTTTGCTTGAAAGTTATCGTCTTTTGAAGTGAATAACCCATTGAAATATGGGGTAATTTAACGTAAAAGATGATAAAATCAAAAGTAAATAGATTAAGACAATTCCCTGGTACCGCGCTGAAGTGCTTTCACCCAGCTTTATGAGGCCTTTTGAATTACTTGAATAGCTGTCTTGGTTATAGAGAAAATCCCAATTCCGAAAACGGCATTTTTCCCCAAAATTGGCGCTATAGCGTCATCCGTTGGACACTGTACTTAATCCCCGTCTTTAATTGGCCTTTTTGGAAGTTTGTTTTAATTTTTTATAAAAACTTATAAGCCCAGGGCTTTGTTTCTATGACTTTGGTCCTTTTACTATTAGTCCCTTTAACAACTGCCCAGCTACCGGTAAAGGTGCCATCGTTTCGAAAAGTTGCAAGAGGTGCTCAAGTGTCTTTACTTTGGACAAGCGACAAGATTGTGTCAAAATTGAGAACCAATGGGTTGTTTTTTTATTCAGATTCGGTGCGTCAATAATAACGGGTTGCTCAATTTGAAACAATTCTAGAGGTAAGAAATGAATCTGCATGATAAAGACCGTACACAATGCAAAATGTTGTTTTTTTAATTGCCACCAGACCCCATGATTTTTCACTCAAATACGTATCACTTTCTGTTTGTAACCTTCTGCTGCGCCTCGCAGATGCAAACATGACGTTTCAAGAAGCAAGTTACATCTTGAACTCATGCATATATGCATATTTAGGTCTCATATTCTATTCTATGTTTGGACAATGCGTAGGAAGCACCGACATGTTTTTCTTAAGATCTGTCTCGCACATTTAAGCCTGATGGGTCCCAACCCAACGTACGGGCTTCTACATCGGGGGCGTCTCGATAGTCCGAAGGTTCATTAGTCCGAAGGTTCATTGGTCCGAAAAGTGGTAACATTTTTATCGATTTTTTAATCAAGGGTTCATTGGTCCGAAGGTTCTATAGTGAACATTCGGACCAATGAACCTTCGGACTATTGAACCTTCGGACTATCGCTACGGCCCCTCTACATCTGGTCTACGACCAAAAAATTGGGGAAAACGTGGGGTTTCGTGCGTGAGGAGCACGTCCATCATGCAACTTTTGGAGGTCGCAGAGAGGACGTAGAATTTTTTCAACATGATCAACAGCCGCTGTGTGCGGTCTACGAATTCTCAAAAAATGGAAAAAGTACGTACGACATGCGAACGTATAGGCCTAGTGTTCGCCTGTCGTGCGCTTGTCGTATGGGACACTTGACGAAATTCTTTTTTCCCACTGCGCTTGGGTGGCTACGGTGCGTGCGATGTAGGCCCTACGTGATTAAGGCGCCCGTTGCACGTACTTAATTCTTGCTCATTTCGTGTGGTCCTCACGGGCTGAATTCGTGCATGTTGAGAGAGTAGTGGTCACTCAATGCGCAAGAGCCGTAAAGTTATTTATGTGGTTACATTTACTTATGTATGCCTGTAAATGTAACGACATAAATAATTTTACGGTCGCTGTTTTTGCGTCTTTTCCAAACGGATTGTGACATGTTATGAAAAGGCAGCCTTTTTCGACACTGGCGCCTGTCCATCCTTCTTATAAGGACAACAAAGATTAGCTGGCTTATTGTCAGTCCAAGCAGTCCTTGCATTAGTGTAGTTTGAAAAAGAAGTTTTTTCCTAACTAGTGTACGCTGGCAGTACTCATGGTTTTAGTCCCGACCCGTCTAGTACAGCTCCGACAGCTCCTGCTGCTCCGCAGAATGGCGTGAAATACAAGTCACCGTTACCACTTCTCCTCCTAGATCGCAAGGACCTGTGTCCCCATCTCTTGGATTTAGGTCACATATAATCTTAACTTGAACCCTCAAGTTGATTGGCAGCTTTAGTGGAATATTTTTAAATTTTTTCCTTTTAAAAATTTTCATTTTTCAAACTGGCATTTTCAACATGTGACTTTTCACTCCCATCCACCAGGAGCTCTTTAACATTTTCTGTATTTTTTTTTTAACTTACAAGAATGATTCTTAGGATTGACATACAGTTCAAATGAGAAAAACAGCTGTATTGAATTATAATTTTTTTATTGAATTTATGCATTTTTTGTGAAATTTTTACTTTTTTTCATTCTGTAATTTTCAACATATGTACTTGAACTCTTATTATATCACCCATACTTATTTCCAAAACCTATCTTGTTAACTGTGGATCGATCTATCTCTGAGGGGGTTCTCGCTAAATTGGAATCAATGTAAGTGGCTTATATGTCTGTCATGCCTACTGAAGCTGGCGTGCCAAAATCCGAAAGCAATTTAGTGAGAAACCCCTTGGAGGTGGATCGATCCTGTTAGATTGATCTAGGTATGGGGACTCCGTCTTGTGCTTGTTACACATTTTACTTTCGTCCTAATTAACTGTTGCGCAGAATTAAAATCTGATGATGCCTATGCAGTTAAGCATAATGCATTATTGCATCAGAATTGAAAGTGTCCTATTTTGTGCATTTTTATTTTCTGCTTTTTGTCTGTATATTTGACAGCTTTGCTGCCTTGTTTTTTTTTTCGATACGGTTTAGGCGTTGCGATATATCAAAAAGTACAACATCGCAATATTCAGTGGTGAAAATAAAATGTGAAATACTCCTAAAATAGCAGCGATACGCCCAGAGTCACTATTGAACTTGAATAGGAAGTCATAAACTGGTAATCTGTGACCTTGAAGTTGACTTTTGACCTACTTTTCATGATGAACTGTACTTTGCATGTTTTTTTGGCCTTTATATCTCCAAAATTGGCAAAGAAATGCCCAAAGTTACTATTGAACTTGAATAGGAGGCCGTCTTTTTCACCATGAACTGAACTTTGCATATTTTCTTGCCCCTCATATCTTCCTCTTATTGGGCTTTCTCTTTTGTCAGCATATATGCAACACTGATAACACATTTCAAGGAAAACCAATAGGCCTATTGTCTAGAAAATCACAGGAGTGATCAATGTTAGGAAAATGCAAGTCAATTCGAAAATCTGCTCGATTGGACCATTTTACGCTTATGTTTTTTCGCCTTTTTTTTTTTTTTTTTTTTTGCATATTTTGATAACTCTTGTACAGTATATAGCATTTTATAGAGCTTAAAGATGCATACAAAGTCAATTTTTTGTCACAAAAACCAGCCAAATGCCAGCATATAGTTTCAAGTAGTACATTGTATAACTTAGAGAATTACCAAAAGGCATTGTTTAATTTTACCCGAAAATGATGTTTGAACGGATTTTTCTGCTGGCTTTTTTTTTTTTTTTTCCACACGAATGCGCTTACTTCAGCTGGTGGTACAATATCCGGAGGCGGCATCGCCTCTCTGATCCTCTAGTTATTTGTTTTGTTTTCTGGAGATGTTAGAACTGATGTTAGAACTGATCAAAAACTTAGCACTGTTCTTAACAGAGTCAGATAAGGACTCCCAACGGAAAAAGGGTCTTTAAAAGGGAAAAAGGGACGCGGAAAAAGGGTCTTTATTACTCGATCGAAAGCTAGGCAAATGTCACCCTCTGCCAGGGGATGGGCGACAGATTAATTTTTCACAAGATATTCACAGATATGTCTTTAGATAAATAGACAGTCATTTCATTCTCTGCCTTTTTCAAATATTCTGCCACCCTGTGGTAGAGGTTGGTCATGGGTCATAGTTTTTTTTCTGCGGCTTCATCGAATTTAAAGAATGCACACAGATGAAGTACATAAATAAACTGAAAACAACGATGATAACATTGGCAACTTTTATTATTTTGATTAAAATTCTTATGATAAGAAAGGTAAAAGAACTAGACAGCATAAAATATCCACTCGTTTTCATTTTTCTATTTGATTACATTTTCATATGCTTTGTCTTGGTTTTATATAACACTATTTGCAATGTTCAATGTAGCAGACGAGCGAAGTCACTCCGAAGATTTCATGGAAAGCATGTAAGGTGTAATTACCTAACTTCATTGTTCCAAGACTTTTTTTAATAATTTTTTTATATATTTCACGAAGTCTTACCCCCGAATTAGCACGAATATCCATGCGTAAACACTCCTGACACACTTAGAGGGCATTTTCAGAGATTTAGATCGATCCATCTAGATCGACCTAACTCCCTAGGGGTTCACGCTAAATTACAGTCAGCCGACCGCGCACATAAATTAATTACCCCCTTACAGCTTGTAGTAGGGCGCATTCCCATAGATTTTAGATCAATCTATCCCCGTGGGGAGTCTCACTAGATTACTGTCAGATAATCTGGCTTAAATGTCCGTCCCGCCTACCACAAGCTGTAAGGGGCTAATTAACTTTTGTGTCCGCTCGGCTGACAGCTATTTAGCGTGAACCCCCAGGGAGTTAGGGTGATCTAGTTGAATCGATCTAATCTCTGGGAATGGGGTCTTATATACTAGCTGTTTCCTTACTGCTGTGAAAAAAAAAATCGCATGAAATTAAAAAAGAAAAGCCCCAATAAATGTAAAATTACAACCAGCGTGCGCATTCGATGAGGGAGCTCTTAATTCTTTATCTTACCTCATCTCCTTAGATGAAAGTTAAAAGTTCAATCAAAACTTGACAATTAAAGAATGTTTATGATAGAAGATGCATTGTATATAAGCACAATGCTTTTTATCTGTAGCCCCAATATGACAATTATTCTGTTGAATATATTCTCAAAAAGGGAAGATGTTCTTGGACATCCAGACATTGTATATTCCCTTGGCAACTTCTTTGGTGGTCTCAGTTCATGATAGTAATTGCTTCACCATCTCCTTTTGTGCAGAAGAAAAATTTTCCTTCCATCTCTTTTTAATAATTTAAATGCATTCACCCTTTGGTTGTTTGAGGTTGCTTGATTCTTCCTTATGATTCCTATGCAGCAGAACTATCACTCCTCATTTTAACTGACTGATCAGACATGATAAGGCAAGGTTTTCAAAAATTGTTTGTTTTTTTTTTTGTTTTTTTTTCAGCATAAATGCAGTTCTGATTATTGGGATTTTAAATGTTGATTGTGCTGCTAAGCTTTGTTCATTATTGCATCAGAATTCACAAAATGATATATTTTGTGCATCTTTATTTGTTTTATTATTTTTTTAAACCAAATTTTGTGTCAGGTGTTTGCTGCTAGTCGGTCTTGATTGTCCATTGTGGAGCTAGCTGTGAGATGTTGGTTATAAAATCACTTGGTTCCTTAAGTATCAAGTAGTCATGAAACTTTATAACAGGACCATAAATTACTAAGCCATAGCACAAATTTTACTGAAATACAAATTTTATGAAATCCAGGGGTAGATCCACAGATATTTCCTGATAGTCTTCCAAATTATCTTTGTTGATCCATCCTCCATTTTGACCGTCTTCTGACAGTAAAAAAATTGATACCCACCATGTAAACTTGAAAATCTGACCGTCCTCCAGAAGACCCAGGAGACAGCCTCAATCCGCCCCTGAAATCAGTGCTCTTTTTCACTTTTTTCTGCATATTTTATCCTCTGTTATACAGATACATGTAACATGAATGAAAACCATGTTATATTTTGCTTTAAAACTTGCGTGACTGATTCATAGGACTAATATACAAATGAAATTTGAAAGTTATCTTGATCGGCTCAGTTTTGATGAAGTTATGCCCCTTTTTATGTACTGACACAGATGTGTCTGTAAATATAGCCGCCTCCTGCCTCTGATGTGGCTGTTTGAAACCTTTTTACCTTTTGTCTCCAAACTCATGGACCTGTTGAATATTCATAAAATACAGGTTGAGTTTGAAAAGTGGCCTGATTGGACAAATTTTATGTACAGACATATAGCTGTCATATATTATACATATAGCTGTTGCCTGCATCTGACGTTGTCGTTGTTTCCGTTGCCATCACCGTGCACTTTCACCGATAACACGATAAGTGGAAAACCATTTTACCTTTTAGCTTTAAACTTATAAAACTGATGAATATTCATTAAACGCAGGTCAAATTTAAAATCACATGATCGTACCATTTATGCTGTTTCAAGGAAAACCAATATCAGCCTGTTGTCTTGCAACCCACAGGAGTGATCAGTTGACTAATATACAGATCAAGTTTGAAACTAAGGGTGCTTTCCCAGAGATTTAGATCGATCTAAAGATTAAGATTTAGATCGACCTAACTCCCTGGGGGTTCACGCTAAATTGCAGTCAGCCGAGCGGGCACCATAGTTAATTACCCCCTTACAGCTTTTAGTAGGCGGGACAGACGCTTAAGCCAGCCAAGCTGACAGTAATCTAGTGAGACTCCCCACAGGGATGGATCGATCTATAAATCTATGGAAATGGGGTGTAAGCTTGATTGATTCAGTTTTGATGAAGTTATGCTGTTTTTTTTTTTAGATATAAGTGGTTTTTCCTCAGATTTAATTCTTAGGTTATTGAACTAATTAGATACTTAAAAGAGTCCTTTAAACATTTTCTGCATCTTTACAATATTGTCAGTTGATTGTATAAAAATGATAGTAAACCTGTTATCGTGTAGTGTGTAATGAAGTGTCAAAAATAAAAATAAACTCATATCATTGCAGTTTGTCAGGTTCAACCCTTAACTATGTTCAGAATGAATCAGATTGGAAACTTAAATTGTTCTATTGATATTTTTCCTATGTCAACAATGTCCTTAGTTTATCATATATATAATAATGACAGTAAATTGATCATTTTGTTTTATGTAAGTTGGTGTTGAAAATGGAAATAAACTCTTTTCAGCACAGTTATCTCTTGTTGACATTTTGGCATTTTAAAGGTATGACTATGAACTTCTATGGCTTAAATACTTTTGCTAGTCATATTTTCTGAATATCCCATGATGCTTTTATTTTATTATTAAAAATTAATGGTTATCATGCTGTTAAGCATAATGAAATATTGTTTCAAAGCTTAAGAAAACCCTATTTTGGGCACTGCCTCCATAGTGACCATTAAAGGAAACCATGTCACTTAATCTTCTCATACTTACAGGAAGGAAGCAGGACTAAAATACAGCTTCAGTTGGAAAATCTGTCTTATTAGTTAATTTTTCTGGGAGTTATACATTTTTTTTTTTTGGCAAAAATTTTATTTTTCACATATCGGCATTTTCAAAGTTTGAATTTGAACTTCCATTGGCTTGAAGACCTTTGCAAGTCACATTTTCTGAATAGCCATGATACTTTTTTTATTATTATTAAAAATTGATGGACATTATGCTGTTAAGCATTATTTAATATTGCATCAAAATTGAAGAAAACCCTATTTTGGGCACTGCCTTTATAGTGACCATTAAAGAAAAACCATGTCACTTGCTTGTCTTAAACTTACAGGAAAAAAAACACAGGATAAAATACAGCTTTTCCAGGCTTCTTTTCCATTGTGCATTTTTGTGAAATTTTCATTTTTCACATTTTGGCATTTTCAATGTGGGACTTAGAAGCCCAGTGGTAATCAAATTTTCTAAATGTCCATGTTATTTATAGTAGATAATTAAAATTGGCGGTAATTGGTATGTAATATTGCATCAGTATTGACAAAAAACCTACTTTGTACACTGTCGCCACAAAGGTTATGAAAAGAAAACTGTGCAACTTATTATTTTTTCAACTTACAAGAATGATTCTTAGAATTTCATACAGCTCAAATTAGAAAACAAGCCCTACTGGATTATCATTTTTTATTGAATTTATGCATTTTTTGTGAAATTTCATTTTTCTCATTCTGGTATTTTCTAAGTGTGAACTTGAACTCTCAAGGGCCTGAAGCCTTAATTTGCTTTTACTTTCATTTTACTTTTACCTGTTGTGCATAATTAAAATTTGATATTGACTTTCCAGTTAAGTATAATGTATTATTGCATCAGAATTGAAAGTATCCTATTTTGTGCATTATTATTTTCTGCTTTTTGTCTGTACATTTGACAGCTTTGCTGCCTTGTTTTAAATCTTTATTTCCTTTTTCGGCATATATGCAATACTGTTAACACAATGCAAGGAACACTGAGAGGGCTATTGTCTTGAAACTCACAGGAGTGATCAATCTTATTGAAGTACGTACAGGTCAGGTTCGAAAATGACCATCACATTTTAATTTGAGTTATTGATATTTTTCCCATATCAGCAATTTTGTTAGTTACCATTTAAAAGTGGTAGTAAATAGGTTATTTTGTATTATGTAAAAACGTGTTGAAAATGGAAATTAACTCATTTCATTAATCCCTTGTTTACTTTTTGGCATTTGCAAGGTGTGACTTTGGGGTTCCATGCACTAGTGGGCTTGATTTGGTCTTAAAGTGCAATTTAAGAGCACAAATAGTCTTACATGGTCTTAAAATATGAGTAAGACCATTTCTAGTCTGACAGCCAATTAAGTTGTCTCCCCTTACACATTCACCTATTGTGAGCAGAGGTGTCCTCTATTGTGAGGGGGGCATCCCCTATTGTGAGGGAAGGAAACTGCTTGATCACTTAAGTAGATGTTAGATCATTTTTGATCTTAAAAGCAGATTCAGTCCTTTTTAAGACTACTGCTGTAATTTTTAAGATCCTGTAAGATCACTTGTGCTCTTAAATTGCACTTTAAATCTAGCCCACTAGTGATGGGCCTGAACACCATTGCCAGTCACAATTTCTAAATACACATGTTACCTGCAGTGCATAATTAAACTGGTGGTGATTATGCTGTTAAACATGTAATATTGCATTTGAAGAAGCCCTTATTTTGGGCACTGTCGCAATAGTGACCATTTCAGGAAAATCATGTCACTTGCTATTTACAAACTTCCAGAAAGGAAACATGGGACTAAAATACATCTTCATTTATAAATTTGGAAAACCATATGATTGGTTTATTTTTGTGGAAGTTATAAAGTTTTTCTATGAAATTTGCATTTTTCACATATTGGCATTTTCAAGGTGTGACTTTGAACTTGGGCTTGAAGACCTTTGCTTGTCATGTTTTCTGAATATCCATGACATTTGATAATTGTATATGATTATAAAAAATTGATGGTCATTTTGCTGTTAAACATTATGCAATATTGCATCAATGTAGGAGAAAACGTTATTTTGGGCACTGCTGCTGTAGGGACAGGTAATTACGCGAAAACCAGGTTACTACTGATTCTCAAACTTACTGAAAAGATTCATATTACTGAATTGCGGCTTCAGTTGGAAAACCAGCCTGATTTCATTTTTTTCTGGAAGCAGTGCAGTTCTTTGTGAAATTTTAATTTTTCACATGTTAATTGGCATTTTCAGTGTGGGACTTAGGGGGCTTAAAACGGAATTGTAATTTCATTTTCTGACTGTCCATGTTAGGTATAGTAGGTGATTAAAATTGATGGTGATTATGCTGTAAATCAGTATGTAAAATTATAAAATTGTCAAAAAACCTAATTTGTGTGCTTCAACCACAAACTCTATAAAAGGAAAACTGTTTTACTTCTTATTTTGTAATGTACAAGAAGAGGATTGACACACAGCTCAAGTTGGAAAACCAGCTTAATTTGTTATATCACAGGGGCGTAACCAGACCTTTTAAAATTGTACGCACAGATTTTCAAAATTCCCAGGTATGGCTAAATGTACACTTATGCAAACAGATAAAGGGCAGATAAAATTAAATGTGCCAAATATCATAGCTCAGTTTTCACCAGAAATAAAATCATCAAGTAAAATACAATCCGGCGATTTAAGTTCCATTACATTATTTCACCCGGAAACAAGGATTGGGGTACAGGCTGTCCAAAATGGGGAGGGGGGGGGGCGGTAAAAATGAAATTTAAAAAAAAATTTAAAATAATAAATTTCAATGGGGAGGGAGGGTTAGAAAAAAAAGTAGTTTCGTTGTGACTGAATATCAGCGTGCACTACAAATAAAAGTAGTACCATTTAACTGTGAGTCTGTGACGCATCATAAAAGCTGGGTACATCAAATTACTATAATAAATTTCTTACAACGTCAACGGTCACCCTGACAAGCAAAGACATCATTTTTCAAAAAAAAAAAAAATAAAATAATAAAATAAAATAAAATCCGTAAGCTGTTAGCCGTCTTTGAAAATATAGGCCGTCTGGTGATGTCAGCAGCCATCCAAAAGACGGCTGGACGGCTGGGAAAAGCCTTGCCCATAACGGTATATTTATTTAACTAGGGGCTTACTGACAACAACTTTGGGCACTTATGCAGATTGTGCCTGCTTGTATCGAGCTAAATTCTGAATAACAGTGCGGTAGTGTTGTTCAATGTGGTTTGCTGCAGTTATCCTGAGTTCTCAGAAAATGATCTGAAAAGCAGTTGATCGTTGTACAATTATTATATATACGCCTTCTTGCTATCCACTTTGTGATATCCATGGTCAGCTTCTCTAAGTTGAACTTATATACACTCTATGGTATCACTCAGCTTACATGCAGATGCATGGCTCCCCAAATCAACCAGTTATATTACAGGATAAAGTTCTGATATGTATAAGTTTAATTATTTGTTTGTAATTGTAAAAATTGCCCATGCCACCCTGTTAGTTTGGAGGGTTAAGCTGGATCTAGTCTGTGTAAAAATTCTTTGAAGCTTTGCAGGAAAAATCAATCTCCCTTTGTTTCTATGACTCCTTGTTTAGCCCGATGTTCAGATTTTATCTAGTGCCCCCAGGTCTGCTGGAACTGTTCTTTGAAAATAACACACAAGTAGATTTTTACCTAAGATAAATATCTGCAGCGAGAGTGCGTTCGATTCACTCAAGAAAAAGGCTACCAGAGAGCTGAAGGGCACTTTACCCTCTAATTAAGAGGTAACGGAAGTCCCAGCTAGATGGACAATGTTTACCTCAGTTCTGTGAAAGCAAACGAGAAGGGGAGTCAGAACATTGGTGCAAATACAGAGGATTTGTACATTCAGGTGACGTTAACATACAACCGAAGGGGATTTTTGATTATATTCCTTGAAAAATACACTGAACTTATAGAGAATAATAACATGGTTAGCCCAAAATATTGTACGCACAGTGCAACCGTGCGTATGCCTGGTTATGCCCATGTATCATAATATTTTTTTCAGCATATATTATACTATATGCAATTCAAACAATATGCAATACAGAAGTGATCAGTGTTATTTAAAATTTTTTAAAAATTAGCTCGATCAGACCACTTTTTTTTTTTTTTTTTATTTTTTTTTTTTTTGCAGCATGTATCATACTAAATGCAATTCAGATAACACATTTCATGGAAAACTGTTTGTCTTATTGTCTTCAAACTTATAGAACTGCATGATGATTATGGTTTGGGTATAGGTGGAGTTTGCTATTATTCCTGAACTTATCCTTTTTCTTTTTTTTTTTTTATGCAGCATTTATTATACTTAATGCAATAGACATACATTGTACCACAGCCATGGAAAAGGCTTCTTAACATTTGTATTCCCTATATGTTCATAATTAATGTTTGGCATTGATTTTTCTGTTAAGCATAATGTTTTATTGCATCAAACTTGGCAAAATAACCTTTTTTATGTATCATTATTTTCTGCTTTTTGTCTGTACATTTGACAGCTTTTCTGTCTTGTTTATTGTTCAAAATTTTTAATTTAAGTGCCACAGATGTAATTCATNTTTTTTTTTTTTTTTTTTTTTTTTTTTTTTTTTTTTTTTTTTTTTTTTTTTTTTTTTTTTTTGCAGCATGTATCATACTAAATGCAATTCAGATAACACATTTCATGGAAAACTGTTTGTCTTATTGTCTTCAAACTTATAGGACTGATGATTATGGCTTGGGTATAGGTGGAGTTTACTAACCCCATCTGACTATTATTCCTGAACTTATCCTTTTTCTTTTTTTTTTATGCAGCATTTATTATACTTAATGCAATAGACATACACTGTACCACAGCCATGGAAAAAGGTTCCTCACATTTGTATTCCCTATATGTTCATAATTAATGTTTGGCATTGATTTTTCTGTTAAGCATAATGTTTTATTGCATCAAACTTGGCAAAATAACCCTTTTTATGTATCATTATTTTCTGCTTTTTGTCTGTACATTTGACAGCTTTTCTGTCTTATTTATTGTTTAAAATTTTTAATTTAAGTGCCACAAATGTAATTCATTAGTCTCTATCTCCTTTATAAAACTTTTTTCAAGATATGAATCATTGCTTGATGGAAGTTTCCCAGTGGAAAGTTCAGTCCCTATGCAGAGTAATGGATGTTTCTGGGGTAATGCACAGGATGGTGGTACACAGGTAAAGAGAGGAAACAGAGAATTACTTATTGCTCCAATATTATGATGTTAAATATATAAGAGACGATGATAATACTGAAAAATAGTAACTATGGGCGTATCTCTGCCAGTTTTGGAGATATAAGCTAGGGACGGAAAATTTGCAAAGTTCAGTTCATGATGAAAAAAAGGTCAAAAGTCAATTTCAAGGTCATAGATTGTTAGTATATGACTTCCTATTCAAATTCAATAGTAATTATGAGTGTATCTCTGACAGTTTTGGAGGTATAAGAGACAAAAGTTGCAAAGTTCACTTCATGGTGAAAAGTAGATCAAAGGTCAATTTCAGGGTCTCAGTTAGATTTTGTTAATGCGGTTAGTGTGTGTGTGCTACTGCATCTACCTGTATTTATAATGTGCCTATAATTGCATTGTCTAGGTGCATTCTCAGGAGATAACTTTTGAAGTCTTTTTGATCCTCTTATTTTGTTCTTCATTCATATATTTTTATTAAGCCATTTCATAGACACATCAGTACGTAATTAATTTGAGTTATATTTTGGAATCAGGCACCCTTCAGCCTTGGAGGACAACAAAATCAAGAAGAGGAATGTACTGGTGCGTTAAACCAATCTGCTGCAGTTAACCAGAAACTAGATATTTCTGCTGAAAAAGTTTTATCTGTGCTTGGTGAGTTACATAATACAAATGTATATGGAAATTCATTGGAAATAGACATTTCTTTCCAATTTTAAAGCTAGGTTTAAGATGTAGTCTTGAAAAAAAAATTGTGCATTGTCTAATAAATATGAATAAATTACCAATGCCTACATTGATTTTTTGCCACATTTGACAGTGGCCTAGCTATGATTTAACTTGATCATATTTGCTCAATTTATATTGTTTGCACAAGCACAAATTGACTTAAATACATGTATATATGTAATAGAAATAGATAGATGGTACATGTATAAAACTTAATCTGTCTTCAGCGCTTTTGGCTGTTAAATATATGAACTAGTATTGGACCATGATACCAGCAGTATTTCATGGGAACAAGACAAACAATCTTTGTATGCTTACCCATAAGTTATGCCAGTTTGTCTTCCCATGTTAATTATTCTGTACTTGTAAATTGTAAAGAATTGTATTCAGATAATTAATAATTTTAGATGAAGTTCTAAGCCAAAGAATTGATACAAAGTTATCAAATTTCCAAGTCTCCTTACAAGATATGCTAAATGATCAACACAAGAGCATTCTTCATCTTTTGAAAGTGACAGCGCTCAGCAGGCAGAGCCCAATGGTATGTCGCTCCATTTTAGCCACCACTATAAATCATGAAAGAAAATTTTAACAGTAAGGTTGATAGTTCAATTTAGGCCAATTTGGATATCAGCTTCGTCATTCCTGCAGTTTTTGTTGTAGGTTGTTTTAATTGTACCGCCAGCGCAGGCACTGCCGGTACACATGGTTTTAGTCCCGACACGTCTCGTCCGCTGGCTCTGCCATATCCACTCACTCCATTGACATGTCACCCTTACTGCTTCTCTTCCTAGACTACAGGAGCCTGCGTATGCATCTGTTGGATTTCGGTTACATTTAATCTCATCTCGTTCCATATACATTTTGGGCTTTCTTGGTGCACAGGTCTAGGTGCGGCACTCCTCGCAATGCACCCTTGTCCAAAATGGGCAAAATCAAATGCTAAAATCTCCCAAACCAAAGGAATTATGGGAAAATTTTCTATAGATGGCTGACCGAAATTCATAAGTGGAAATTTCAGATATGCCCTTGAATTTGACCTTTGACCTTCAACTCAAGGTCAAACGGGCCAAAATTGTCTAAAAATGGGAATTTTTTGCAAAAATAATTAAGTTTATTTGTGCTGATTTTCAGAAACTACACAGACCTAACCTATAATACTATAGGCAGCTGTTACACTTATATTAGGGTCATCTTTCATCTTTGTAAGTTTGGGGTCAATTGGTGCAACCAATGGAAACCAAAACTGAAAACTCTTTCTTTCTTACTACTGTATTTCTAAAACCGATCTCTTCTGTTTTGCATTTTGTAGAGCAAGGGCAACACTGGAGGTGGTGTCCGTTCTTTTGTTTTCCTTACAGCTGTTTACAAGTATATATATAAAAGTACAACATGGTGGTGGAAATAAAATGTGAAATATCTTAGATCTCCAAAACTGGCAGAGATAGGTCCATTGTTGCTATTGAACTTGAATATTAAGATACATATTGGCAATCTAGATGTGACTTTAAAATTAACCTTAAATTTGACCTACTTTTCCCTATGAACTGAACTTTGCAACTTTCCTATCCCTTATAACTCCAAACCTGGCAGAGATACGCCCATAGTTACTATTGAACTTGAATATAATTAAGATATAGGAAGTCATGTACTGGCAAGTTGTGACCTTGAAATTGACCTTTGACCTACTTTTCACCATGAACTGAACTTCGCAACATTTTCTATCCCCTATATCTCCAAAACTGGCAGAGATACATACAGTATAAGTAGGCCCATGGTTACTATTAACTTTGAATATTAAGATACATATTGCAATCTAGATGTGACTTTGAAATTGACCTTTGACCTACTTTTCACTATGAACTGAACTTTGCAACTTTTCTATCCCTAAGCCTTACATCTCCAAACCTGGCAGAGATACACCCATAGTTACTGTTGAAGTTAAATAGGAAGATATATACATGTACTGGCAATCTAACTTTGACCTTCAAATTGACCTTTGACCTACTTTTCACCATGAACTGAACTTTGCAACTTTTCTATTCCTTATATCTCCATAACTGACAGATATGCCCATAGTAACTATTGAACTTGAATAAGGTCATATACTGGCAATCTAACTGTTGCCTTGATATTGCCCTTTGACCTACGTTTTACCATAAACTGAACTTTGCAAATTTCCTATCCCTTATATCTCAAAAACTGGCTGAGATAGGGCAATAGTAAAAGAGATCTTTTGACATTTTCTGCATCTTAACAATATTGTTAGTTGATTATATAAAAATGATGGTAAACCTAATATTGCGTATTGTGTAATAAAGTGTCAGAAATGGAAATAAACTCGTATCATTGCAGTTTGTGAGATTCATTCATTCAATATGTTCATAAATTCAGCAGGGATCAAATTGGACATTTATAATTATTCTATTGATATTTTTCCCATCTGAACAATTTTCTTACTTGATCATATAAAAATGTTAGTAAATTGATCATTTTGTTTCATGTAAAAAAGTGTTGAAAATGGAAAGAAGTGTAGTTCTCTCTTGTGTATAAATTGGCATTTTCAAGGCGTGACTTAGAAATTTTTATGAGCCTGAAGACCTTTGCTAGTCACATTTTTTTTTAATATCCATGGTACCTACAGTGCATTATTTAAGATTGGTGATGAATATGCTGTTAAGCATTATGTAATATTGCATCAAAATAGAAGAAAACCCAATGGGCACTGCTGCTATAGTGACCATTAAAGGAAAACCATGTCACTAACTCTTCCCAAACTTACAGGAAAGTAACATAGGACTTAAATACAGCTTTAGCTGGATAACAAGTCCGATTGGTTGATTTTTCTGGAAGTTTTACAGGTTTTTGTGAAAATTTTAATTTTTCACATATTGGCATTTTCAAGATGTGACTTTGAACTTCCATTAAAACATTATGTAATATTATTTTATGCATTGGCAAAATTTTTCACATATTGGGATTTTCATTATGTGAATTTGAACTCTCATGGTCCTGAAACTATAATCTTATTGACCATCTTACCTGTGGAGCACGATTAAAATTTAGTGTTGATTGACTGTGCTATTATAAGCATTATTTATTATTGCATCAAAATTGACAAAGTGACCTATAGTCTGCATCTTTATTTTCTGCTTTTTTTATGTACATTTGACAGCTTTACTGCCTTCTTTTTTTTTAATTTATGCAATTTTTTGTGAAGTCTGAATTTTTCTCATTCTGGCTTTTTCAAAGTGTGAACTTGAACTCCTATGGGCATGAAGCCCTATGCTTGTTACACATTTTGCTTACATCAGTATTACCTGTTGTGCACTTTTTGTCTGTACATTTGACAGTTTTGCTGCCTTGTTTATATCTTTTGTTTAAATATACTTTTCATACAATAGTGTTTCATAAATAGTAGAATTATTGTTCATGTTACATCTGTGCCCTCCCCTGGTTGATACAGGCTAGTAACCTCTTCTTCATTGCATGACCCTACGAGACCTGGAATGTGGACCTAGGGTACCCTCTACCAGGGGGCAGGTATTACAGGCAAATTTTCCAAAAGCCACCCTGTAACTTTTGGCCAGATGGAAGCAATTAAATCTGCACTTGCGCAGATGACATTGTACCCGCTCTGTAGGGAGCTACTACAGTAGATTCCTCGGTTAACTTCAATCTGTAGTAACAAGCTATGCAGAAGGGGCTATTTTTATCTGTCACAAAAGAGCAAGTGATTAAAATCAGAGCAATCAACTGTCTTGATTGCTGTCAAGGGTACTTGGCTTGTGCCTGTTAAGTGGCAATGCCTGAGCAGTTATGTAAACAATTACCAGCCATGTAATCAACCAAAAGATTTCAGCACAGGGTCAGAGATAGCAAAATGACAATCTATTTATCTAAAGACATATTTGTGAATATCTTGTGAAAAATCAATCTGTGGCCCTGGTAGAGGGTAGACCTAGGGCATCCTTCTCCCTTCTTCCACCAGTGAGCTCTTGACTCTATAATGACGTAGCCTGGCTGTTATGAAGTTGTCTGCATGCCTAGTTCATCCTAGGCATGCACAGTGGAAGACATGTTAGTTCTAAAAACTGGTCACAGAAGAGTTTGGATTTGCCCCTGATGCAGGTAAGCCTGTGCTATCCTGGCAGTATGGTAATGGGCATTGTCGTGCTGGAGGGTTAAGTGTTGACACACAAATGGCACAAAAGCTGTCCTTAGGACTTCATCTCTGTACCACTGGCCAGCCAGATATCCATCCATCACAGCAATGGCTGTTAGTTCTGTCTGAAACTTGCCATTTCTGTCTGAAAAATGCCCATCCAAACCAAAACACTGTGCCAATGGTAATGGGCAATGACACATATCCTGTCAAGATCAGCCATGGCATGATGTCAACATTGCCAGCAACCACTGCAGTCACCATGGGTTCTGTCTGGAAATTACCACTTACGCCCGCTCAAACCATAACACTGTGCCAATGGCAATGACCAATTGAATGGCCCCTGTCCAGATCAGACAGCTGTTGTATGATGTCTACATAGAATTTGGTCTCCAAAACTTATTTGTCTGATTTCTGTGTCCACATTGATAATGGATAATTGATTTTTGCTAAAGTTTTGTGTTTAGACTAAATTTCTGAAAACCCAGAGCCAGCCACTGTCTAAAATCACTCAAGCATTTCAGGACTCTACTGCAGGACTGAAATGGTGTTCTGCTATTGAATACAGTGACTATACTAACATATGTACATATTTGTGTAATTTGAAGCACTATGGTAAAAACAAAAACTTGTTTCTTTTTTTGGACAGTATATAAAGAAAAGGAAAATGACAATTACTAACAGAAACACCATTTCACCAACTTTTAACTCTTTCTCTCTCTCTTTATATAGGTAAGACTTTCTCAGTTCATACTGGAAGAGCAAACAACAGGTAAAATAGCAATGTTTACCTTTTAACAATCTTGATCAGTTGTGTAAATTATAATGATAGGTTCCACCAAATACATGTACAACTTAAAATTAGTTATTAGGCCTTAAAAATAGTGTGTTTATCTTCAGAAAAAAAATTGAATGTGGTGAATTTTTTAATTTCTTTTTTTTTTCTGATATACATTCAGTCCAGATCCCTAAAATTTGAGCAAATGCAGAACTGCTTCATTAGTTAACTGAATGCATTATAATCCTACATTATTCTGTTGGGAATGTTCTCAAAGAGAGGAAAAATAGAGTAATGATTAGATCTTTTAATGGGCAAAAATGTTTAGATTAAATGAAATTTCTATATAGCATATTTGGTGCTTTTGCATAGAATAAAACTATAGAGTAGCCTGCTTTTTAATTTGGTGGCTACCACTCAGTGGGAATGTTCTAATTTGCAGAAATTATTACTTTAAAATACAGTATATATACTGAGTACAATGTATAGTAAATAAAATCATAAAAATTGATATGTGTCTGTATACTTGACAACCTTGCTATATAGTTACAGATAAGATGTGCTTTTGTCATTTTTATGCATTTAACATGTTTAGATTGTGTGTCAAATTTATTTATGATTTTGCAGATTTCCCAAGTCAGACAGACAGCAGTCAGTCAAGGTAACCACATGATATATTGTTCTTTTGCTGTACTGCTTTCATTATATTACTGCTATTTATATTTTAGTCAATAAGACATTTATGCTCTTGTGTTAGAGTAACTATATTCTACGCAAGCAGTTAATTTTTCAAATATGTACTAGTTAATAATATTATATATTTAACATTCATCATTCTTGTTTGAATTTTAAAAAAAGCAAAAGAAACATATGACATCACAATCAACCTGTACCAAGGGTAGTAATGGAAAAATGTAAGGGACAGAAAACAAGAGTCACAACACTACTACACTTACACACACACACTCACACACACACACACACACACATTAAAGTCGATAACAACACACAAAAATCTCACAATTAACACAGAACTTGCAACACACACCAAACCTACCGGTAGGGGCACTTCAAACACAGATACTAGCAAGCCTGAGTATGATGTGTGCACCAGAGGGTCATATATATCTATCTACAGGTACCTGTAAGATTAGTTGTCAAACTCCAAATAATAACCCTTGTCCCTTTACTTTTCTTACCCAAGGTGTAAAAATTCTTGTGAAGTCATCACCCTGTCTATTCAATTCGTTAACTAGCAATTATAACAATTAACCCTACTAGTATAAAATCATGCAGTCGATTATCTTAATTAAGGGCATTTTATTTATTTGATATTTCTCTGCAGACCAGGATCGAGGAGGCTCCTCATCCAGAAAGTACAGATTGTTAGAGAATGTACCTTTGTTGATACCGTAGTTATGAGGCGCTTATAAATTTAAATGAAATATTTTGGTTGGTGCCGAAAACCATAAAAAATTATTGAATTAAAAGCTACTCCAATCAGAACTATGCTCAGATTGCATATTTTCTCTCCCAAATAGGAACCAAGTATTATATATCCAAAAGTCATCCCACATTTTTAAGTTGACAAATTGAAACACCCTCCCCCCTTTTTTTTTACTTCAGACAAATTAGTCCGAAGTCTGTTGCTCTCCTCATTTATAAGTCAGTGATAAAATTTTATCTGGCAATAAGAGGACTACATGTACATGTATGAAGTTAGCAGACCCTAAAATAATTACTTTGGAATATTTTGGATTTATAACACTCCAAATATTTTACAATCTAAAATATGGAATAGCATGTTCATTTCTAAACAAGTTATGGACTACCATGTCAAAGAGNGTTTGAAACTTGCATACAGTGAAATCAAGAAAAAACAATAATCCAATCAAGCTGGTTTTTCAGTTTGAGCTGTATGTCAATCCTAATAATCATTCTTGTAGGTTAAAAAAAATAAGATGTAACACAGCTTTCTTTTTTTTTCATAGTGTTTGCGGTGGCAGTACATAAAGTTTTTTTTTTTTTTTTTTTTCAATTTTGGTACAATATTACCTAAGGATTAACTTCGGGCCTATAAACCTTCGGCCCAATGAGACTCACCTTGTCAAAGCATGATAAAGGTAAAAGAAGTCTAAATATTTCGGTAACACCTGCATACATGTTACTACAATTTTTTTAAAAATGTTTTTTCTTTTTCTTTACAGTCAAACTGATTCACAGAACATGGACGTCTTGAAATATCAGTATTTGACAAAAATGCTCACTTCAGGTAGCATCCTCAGTCATGCTTTACGAAGAAAAGAATACAGTGCATAACAATTTTTTTTTTTTTAGCATGTTAATATGAAGCCTCTTTTCAAAATTTGCTGTTTGTTACGTAATTGGACAGGTCAACTTTGTGCAGTCCTAATAAGTGCTTATGTTACAGGGGGGTTAACTCCCTACAATGTTAATGAGAACTTAATTGGAAAACTACCCCTTTGCAATCAGGGCACTGCAGGGTCAGGGATCCCCTGTGGTGCATCCTTATATATTGTAGTACCGTATATAGGAGTTAAGACTATAGACTCTTTCTATAATTATATTTAGTACTGTTGTTCAAAACAGGCATTAGCTCTTTATGTAAATGTGTATGTCAGATTTATGTGAATTTGATGTATGCTCTTCAACATGCTAGTATTTTTGCAACTGCCAGTTTTCCTCATACATTTTGAGTTTTGAATTAAGGTGTTTCGTCCGTACATTGCTATCGTATTTAGTGGGGTCTACCGCTATTTTAGTTGATGCCTATTTATGTAAGAATCTGCTTATTTTTACCATTTCAGGCAACTCATATTTAGTGTCAGTAAAATTATGTTGTGAGTTTGTATTATCAGATTTATGGAGTATCATTATTTTGAAATTTTTACACATTTAAATTTTAATGCAGTAGCTAGTTTTTGTGCCACTTTTTCATAAACTAACGATGATTTTTCAGTTATAGAAGATCAATATTGCTTAAGCCTAGAGTACAATTACCATGCTTGTACACAGGATAAAAAATCTCACTGTTTGAAATAAACAAATGCTGAAATTGACAATGCCTTCCTTTTTTTACTGCTTGGTTTAATTTGCTTTCTGGTGTTGTTTTGAGAAAGTCTGTTGGAAATGTTCTGTTGGTTGTATGTATTAAAAGGTAAATCCATTCCACTTTGCTTACAATAACTTTTATTTTGCCTTCATTATAAGGGGATTCCCATTGTATTTATAGTGTTGTGTGTGACCCCAAAGGGATTTTACGTCAAGGGGCTTCTCAGCTATTATTAGAATCTTTGATAATAACAAATATAGAATTTACGATATAATAAGTTCTTATGTGAGGCCTATTTATTAGCTTAATAGTACCACCAGCGTCTCATCTTGTACAGCTCTGCCAGCTCCCGCGGCTCCATTACGTTTCTCTTCCTAGACCACTACAGTACAATGTAGGTTAAGCTCTGTGCCAGATAAAGTTTGTGAAAGCCTAAATTGTGTCACATAATTAATAATCAGTGATAATTATGCAGGTAAATGTTGTTTCATTTTGCAAGCAAGTTTACAGGAGAAAAAACTTTTTTTGTGTAATGTCAACATTATAATGATACAGATGAATAACAGTGCTTTATTATCCTCAAAACTCAGTGGGGTTATTCATATCATGTTAATACAGTTGGATTAAAAGTGAATAGCAGCATTATTGAATTTTTTTTTATGTTTTCTTTTTTTAATTTTTTTTTTCTTATTTTTCAAACAAAGGCATTTTCAAATGTGACTTAGCTCCCATCCACCTGCAGCTCTGTACATTTTCTGTATTTCCACATAAGCTATAATATTGGTGTAAATGCCGTTTAAGCATTATGTAATATTATTTTTGCACTGTCATAATTTTTCACATATTGGGATTTTCATTATGTGAATTTGAACTCTCATGGTCCCGAAACTGTAATCTAATTGACCATCTTACCTGTTGTGCACGATGAAAATTTAATGTTGATTGACTGTGCTGGAAAAAGCATTATTGACTATTGCAGCAAAATTGCCAAAGTGGCCTATATTCTGCATCGATCGGTAGCTTAGCAGATTGTTGTAGTGTGTAGGTGTGTGTGCTTAATCTTCACTTATATATTTCCATGTTCTGAACCCTCTGACGTGTCTATACGATTTATACTCCCCTAGCAATTTAAGTGTGACCCCTATAACGCAATGCGTAAAGTGATACAGAAAATCGTGTCACAAACCAAAGGTTAATCCTATACCCCTAATGCAATGCGTAAAGTGATACAGAAAATCATGTCACAAACCAAAGTTTAATCGCAGACAACGATCGGCGGTTATCTCGGTTTCAGCGCATGTTGGAGAGAGAGCGTAACACTCAGTCCGGCGTCATGAAATGTTGGGTCCGGTTAAGTACAGGGTCCAGGCGACCCTGTATATTTTAACCAAATAACATGATAGGACCCCTGGTTTCGGAAATAACGGGTCCAGGAATCTCTGTCATGGGGGACTCTCTGGTACATGACACCGGTATTCTTGGAAGTGTTAGAAAAGTCAAACTGGCATAAAAATTATAATATTATAGAGTAGGGGGAGATTATGGTTATAATTATATAGAATAATGGATGAAAGGAAAGTGAAATTGAACATTAAGACGAAATAAAACGCTCTTTATTAGTTGCAGTATAATTATTTATGTATTTCTTATTTGCTATATAAGTTAAGTTTTGCAGACTTATCTCTGCAACTTGAACCTCCCGATGTTCAGAATAATTCTGAAGTCTATATGTATATATGTATGTTTTTGTTAAATGAATCTGCAGTGTGAAGTGTGGCTTCAGTCTGAACTATTTTTGGTACTAAGCGAGAATTCACGGGTCATTCGTTAGAGAATTAGCGGGTCATTGATTTTGGGTTGTGAGTGCAACAACAGGTGGGAGGGTCTCTCTCTTTTATTCTAAAATGGCACAGTCATTTAAGTTATTTTACTTAAATTTATGAATATTGTTGTGTATTAGACTAAACACAAGTGAAGCAAAAAAAATTATTCTAGGACAATTCCCCCGGACAAATACAAATATAAAGTAAAAAGTGTAAAGTTTAAAACATTCCATCCGTTTTATTAATATTTAAATGTGATAATACGTCTTCATCATGAAACATATTATTTTATAACAAATTCCTTTTTCACCGAGTACAAGTACAGAAAGTTTTATTAAATATCTAAGTATCTAAATATCTAAATATTAAAGTATAACCACCTGTTCTTCAGATAAAGGTAGGGTAAACAGATGAAGAGGTAAACAGATATTTTATGAATATTTTTAGTGTGGTGGGTAGTGGGTAGAGGTCAAGCAATTGAAAGTGACAAATAATCAAAGGGATACATGGATAAGCGAGAAAATCTGTTTACCCCACCTCAACCTAGAGATGCACCTTGATTCAAGACTTATTCAATCAAGGGAGGAGTAATAGAGCAATTAATAGTAACAGAAAATTCATCAAAGGGTTACCTGGATGAGTGCCATCAGCTGTTTACCCCACCTTTACCTGGAGATATAGTTTGATCAGATTTTTTAATAAAATGTTCTGTACTTCTATCCCTAAAATTTTCTGTACTTGTTCTCCACGAAAATGATTTGTTTAATGAAATTAATATGATCTATCCTTGAGTTGCATCATCACACTACGGAATATGTAGAAAATGGGTGAAAAAAAATAAACTTTGTACTCTTTACTTTATATTTCTATATAAAAATATATTCTTCGGGGGGGGGGGGGGCCGCCCGGGGGGGGAATTGTCCTGATACCAAAAATAATTTTGCATGTTTATTATTATTGATGTTTTTTTAGTCGACCATTATGTTGCATTGGCTTGTCAGTCAGTTGAGTTATGCTCTTATGTTCTTAAGGCTGTTGTACATTTGTAACCCTTTATTATCATCCGGATACCGAAAATGAGGTTTTTCCTGCATCTAATTATTCAATAATGCATTTATCTTTGTGCTGATTTAAAGCAATTAAGCATGCTCAAAAAATAAAATATCGGCGGTTAAATGCAATGATAAAGCATAGGCAACTCAAAGCTTTAATCGTCTATTTCGGGCGAGACAGCAATTGGCCTGGGGAGTAACTTCATCCCTGAACAAGATTTTATCACGAACATTGGCAAAGTTGACTACGGGCTACAATCCCGTGCCGCCGTTTTGGTTGAAACGTTTTTGTTATGGAGATATGAGCTCCTTATGACAGATTTTCATTAAACAAAAGCATTATTTTGCTTTATCAACGATAAAATCTGAACTAAAACTTTCAAGAAAAATCGCTAGCAGGGTTTTGGAGTACTGAATGTTGTCATTAAATTAGTTTTAAACGGTGATCGTGAGTGCTCAGGATAAGGAGAAAGAGAAACCGATTTTTCACTTTTTATCCCAAAATCACAATTATGACATCACCCGTAAGATGATATATCAGTATGTGTGAATGTTAATTAATGTACAGTCAGTGAACACTGAAAATTTATCTCCCAAAAAGAGGCAATAAATAAGGAGAGTAGTTTGTAATGGACCGCACAAGCTGCTTTTTTGAGGCGCCATATACTTTTAATGCAGTTTTTTAGGGCGTAAATGAGGCGAATGTTAATGACGAATGCACTTGATGGCCTGGGATACCTACGAGGTGACGCGACAAGCAGAGAGGGTCTTATCGGTCAAGTGGATTTGTCAACAAACTAACACTTGAAGAACGTGCAGGCGGATTTGCAAATATCGCTTTGTAAGCGAATGTCAATGACGAGGTACTTGAATACCTACGAGGTAATAGTTCAAGTAGAGAGAGAGAGGGCTCTTGTGTGTTAAACGAATTTGTCAACAATCAGACAGACAGAGTCGACAAGGCAGCAGACTTGTTTTGCTGAAAAAATAGCAGAGTCATTTTATTTCACCAAAGATGGTCATGCTGTATTATATAAGTATTCTAATATTTGCTATTAAAATGAAGGAAAAAAACTGCAAAGTCATGTCATTCTGTCGACTATAATACCCCGATAAATATTTGCCAAGCAAAGGGTTGGAAGGTTTGTTTTGCTGAAAAATTGCAGAGTCAGTAGAGTTGAAAGGTGTGTTATATAATTATTTAATATTTGTTATTAAAATGAAGGAAAAAAACTGCAAAGTCATGTCATTCGGTTGCCTATAATTCCCCGATAAATATTTGACAAGCAAAGGGTTAAATCTTTTTGTTTTGCAGAAAAATTGCAGAGTCAGTAGAGTTGAAAGATGTATTATATAATTATCTTAATATTTGTTATTAAAATAAAGACAAATACTGCAAAGTCACACCATTTCTGTTGCGTATAAATACCCTCATTTCTCGGCGTTAATACCACAGCAACATGGCACAGGTAGAAGTACAGAAATGTGACATTTGCCACGGCTACAATGTAGCCGTGACAGAAAAACTATGGAAGCACTACAACGTGAAATCATTTCACGTAGATGCACAGGTACGTAACGCATGTATAATATACAAAATATCAGGCAAAGCAGACCTCCGCCAAGGCAGCAAAGTCTCCACCCAAAGCCGTTTCACCCCTAAATTTTCATTCTATAATGATTTAGTTTTTTTTTTTATTTTTGATTATTGATTGATTATTGATCCGGATCACCACCAAAAACCTCATCTGTTCCTTGGCCCACTTGTGACAGTTCCTGAAAATTTCATCACAATCGGGCCATAACTTTTTGAGTTATTTTTGATTATTGATTGATTATTGATCTTGATCACCACCAAAAACTAACCACTTCTAAGTTATCCCATTTCGGTCCATAACTTTTTGAGTTATGTTGATGACAGACAGATAAACAAACAAACAGGGGTGAAAACATAACCTCCTTGGCGTAGGTAATGATTGCATCCATGGAACAAAAGCTACAAATAGCACAGGAAGAGGAAAGCAGTATGTTGAACATCGGGGTAAGAGTTACTGTAGGAAGACCATTAAGTGGAAGGCTATTT